CCGTTATTACAGGTAGTAGGGATACTGATTTTGTTATATAAAAGTGGACGAGAGTGAACCGTTATTACAGGTAGTAGGGATACTGATTTTGTTATATAAAAGTGGACGAGAGTGAACCGTTATTACAGGTAGTAGGGATACTGATTTTGTTATATAAAAGTGGACGATAGTGAAGCGCTATTATAGGTAGTAGGGATACTGATTTTGTTATATAAAAAGTGGACGAGAGTGAATCGCAATTACAGGTAGTAAGGATACTAATTTTGTTATATAAAAAGTGGACCTGGTTAGTTTTAAAATATGTTCTTACTTTTAGAAACGATCATAAATAACCGCGTGTAGCAGTATACTGGGTAGTGAGGACATGATATTAGTGGAGCTAGAAGAATCAATTTCAATCTTCTTTTTTTTTCGTTCCAATATTAACCTAGACATCTTAGGTTCTATTATCCTTGTCATATTAGTATATGACCGTTACTGGAACTAAATGCCAACTTCAGGTAATGAATTTTTCTTATTTCTAGATTTCAATTGCAGTTGAAACTTCTTTCCCCGTCTGAGGCTTTCTGGTAGGTGTTAAATTGATTAAGATCTGGTAGGTGTTAAATTGATTAAGATCTGGTAGGTGTTAAATTGATTAAGATCTGGTAGGTGTTAAATTGATTAAGATCTGGTAGGTGTTAAATTGATTAAGATTTGGTAGGTGTTAAATTGATTAAGATCTGGTAGGTGTTAAATTGATTAAGATAGATCCCACCGCTACCTTCTACCGTTTATTTACTAATACACAAACCCACACTCATATATATACATACACAAAGTGAGATATGTTTCTGAATTGTATAACTTTCCTATGTGTTAATTATGGTCCCGATTTTTTTGTTCCACAATACAGGAAGTACAGTTGTTTCTACAATACTTATATTCATCAATGTTAGGAGAAAAAGATTACCCGAACTTGACAGACAGCAAACACACTTAAGTGGCGAAACGCATGCTGCAATGCAAGAAGAGCAGGAAACGGAAGGCGTTGGCTCTTGGAGCAACTTAATTCCATTATGATTTCTATATGAAATCTAAACAGTGAAATTAACCTTAAAGTGGAAATGACAATAAACAAGTACAAGTACAAAGTACAAAGACACCGGAATAACTGAAAGTTGCACAAGTGTGTCCTTCTTGAAGAAGACGATATCTTACAACGGGGTTAGAAAAGTTTCCCTTCGCGCTTTTGATTTCTTTCATGAAATGCTTGAATTTTACAGTCTTAAAATCAGTGACGAGTTTCAACCGAA